CCACGCTACTAGTAGCTCCCGGCCTTACTACTAGTAACAAGAAGCTACTAGTAACAAGGGCATTACTACTAGCAAGAAGCTCCTAGGTTGGGGGCCATTGGAACAAGAGGACGCTACGAACGGAACAAAGAAGCTAAGAGCCAGGTCGGAGCCAGGTCGGGTCGGGTCCTTTAAGGAAGCTTTCTGGAAGATCCCTGTTTCTGCTTGGCTACTGGGTGCCTAAGCCCCGAAAAGCACGGCCCGATGAGTGTCAGCTCCACACTTAGAGAGGGTGTGAGCAACCCAACGGTGCCCACCAACCGTTGGAACGAGTCAAGTGCGGCCCGGAGAGAAGCCTTGGCTTGCAGAAGGGATATGTGACAACTGCTTTTCCTTGCTACTAGGGGCTCCTGGCCTTACTACTAGGAGCAATGTTCGCTACTAGGAGCAAAGGGCATCGCTACTAGGAACAAGGATGCCATTAGGTTGGAGGCCATTGCGTATCATTGCGTCTAGTTTGGAGGTTTGGTGTAAAAGGCTCGTTTGGTGCCGGAAGCGTTTGTGCTTCTACTCCGTAACACTTTTCTCCGGTCTTCGACTTACTTTGAGCCACCTCTGACTGGCTCACATGCCCGCTTCGAGAAACGAGAGCTTAGAGAACTATGTGCTACTTTGGTGGCCTACTTTCTTCGTTTCGTTCAAGATGAGTGACACCTGTTACTTTTGGTGTAGTCTCATGTGATATGTGAGCGTTCCCACTTGTGTGCTGCTCACACTCATATTTTTGCTGCTATATTATTGGGGATTCCTGTTTGAGGTTTCTTGCTGGGATAAGTGTTTTACAGTTTATCCTCGCGGCCGCCGATCAACAGTTTGTTTGGGCGTGCATTTTGTTTGCGCAATTTCTTCCATGCGGACCACCAGCGCGGACGCTTTCAAACTTGTTTGCGGTATGTTTTACCAATGCCCGCAGTTGAACTTGCACTAATTATTGCTATTGCAGGCCATCACTACCAGGTCGGAGGCCATCGTTCTTAGGTTGGAGGCCATCACTCTTAGGTTGTAGGCCATCGCTAGTAGGTCGGAGGCCATCGCTACTAGGTTGGAGGCCATTGCTCTTAGGGTGGAGGCCATCGCTACTAGGCTGGAGGCCATCGCTACTAGGCTGGAGGCCATCGCTAGTAGGGTGGAGGCCATAGAGTTTGCGCTAGAAGCAAACTGCTTGACTTTTTCTACAACCTTTTTGGTGCCTTTCAGGAACAGATTGTCATAGCCATACCCTATAGCTGTTGAATCTGAAACGGTTGGAGGCCATCGCAAAAACTCATTTCACCTGTCGTCTCCAAAACTCTTT